CTTGTCCTTGCTTTTGAAAATTTGTAGTCATTGTTTTTACATCTCTTAATCTCTTAGATGATAAAAATATTTTATGATTGTGTCTCTTTCTCTAACCTATTTTAGTGGCATAGTTTTCTTTTCTAATCAAAAAATTATTTCAAATTAAAGATTGTGTATGAAATTAAGATCTTTTCTTAAGCTTGCTTAAGTAAATCTATCTTGTATTTATAATGTTTAAAGTTTTTTGTCACATCAAGATCTCTCGTTACTCTTATCTTTGATTATTGATTTTGTTTGTGATAATTCTTCCTTATGTTAGAGAAAGAGCCCCTATTCTCTAATATCTAGAAGATATACTCACAATTAAGCACTTTTTAAGAGTTGTAAAAGAGAATGGAGCTTGGAAAAATTAAAAAAAAATTGGCCAATGATGCCAACAAAAGATGAGCAATGTCGCCAAATTAAAAAATTATATATCAAAAAGTAAAACATGTGCACAAGCACCAATCAATTGACAAGAGGCATAAAATGAGCCCACTAAAAAGCAATCTCCTCTCTCCTTTCAAATTCTTTAAAAACTTAGAAGTTTTCATATATCAAAGGCTTGATTTCGATTGTTTTGAGATTGTAACAAATTTACTTTGATTCATTATTCTATGAGATATTTTTTCTTAAACCAAGTAATGAATTGATTCTTGTTCCTCATATCCAACTGATTTTTTGAGTTAGATTATTGATTTCAAAAGAAGATTCTACCCTAAGAGGAAGTCTGAGCTAAGGGTAATCATGATTGGATATTCTACCGTTCTTTGGATTATTGATGTTGTTAACTCATTAACTCATAAGTTTTTAAAATCAATCACATGGAATACTACATCATCTTCATGCCTTGGTAAAAAAAAAAAAATTGTTCTTGATTCCTTTCTTTTTGAGATGTCAAAAAGGGGAGAGTTTTAGGATGTCTCTTGCACTACACTGCTATTTTTTAAATTTTTTCAATGTTTTGCCATCATCAAAAAAGGGGTGATTGTTGCAAATTCAGGTCTATGAACTATGTTTTGATGATTGGCAAACACTCTTACTTGACTTAGACTATCTTTTACTACTAACTTTTCAGGAATCAAAGATCGGATGGAAAAAATGGAGCCAGCTCAAGATGGGGTAGATTAGGGTTGAGTCAGTCTGTAATTTTATTTTTTCCCTCTTGAGTAAATTGCAATCTTTGGTGTGACTAATGCAAAGTAACCCTACACACACACAGTTGAGAGACTTATAATTTCTATTTTTACTCAAATCGGCCAGGACGATATTTACATCATCCTAGACGATCTGACTTAAAATAGAAAATCTAATCAGGGGTTCTTAATTAAGGCAGCTATCATTAGCCAATGGGCTTGGATGATACGTGTATCGGCCAGAATGATAGGATCAAAACAGAAATAAATTGCCGCCATAAACAATTAAGGTATTCTATATTTTTTGGTAATCGGCCAGGACGATCTTGGATCGGCCAGGACGATATTCACAATTATGCCTTAACTAATCAGATAATCAAGGAGGTAATTAAGGATGATTGAAATGATCATATCGTTCTGGACGATCTCAGGATCGGCCAGGACAATCTATTCAAAAACCTTAGTTACTTCTGGACGATAAATATCGGCCAGCACAAATTCAGGGCGATGCTCTAGACGATTTTCCTTTGATTTGAACTGATCGGCCTGGACGATCGTGATATCGTCCTGGACGATCAAGCCAATTTCATTTGTCCAGTTTGTATTCAGGGTGATGCTCTGGCCGATCTTCTGAGATTTGTATTGATCGGCCAGGACGATTTCTATATCATCCTGGACGATATAGTCGGCAACTTGCAATTAATGAGCTCCTTTGAAGCTCTTCTTTTTAAGGGCTCTTGTTCAACATTTTTGAACATCCTTGGCTACTGTCTTGACCTGAGAAAACCTAAAGGAGAGAGAGAGAGAGAGAGAGGGAGACAGAGAGAGAGGATCTTGTGAGGGGGAGCTTATGAGGGGATTCACAAGGGTTGTCCAAGCATTGTTCCACTTCTTCTTCCCTAGAGTCTCTTATCCTTGGAAGGATTGGGAGAGGTAAGTTCCAGCAAGCGATCGAGGTTCTCTGCCTGCTTCAGGAGGAAGCAAAAGGAGGAAGGTTCTCTGCCTTGCCGGGTGTGGCAAAAAGAGGTGTTTGTAAAGGCTTCTCCGCCTAGCTTTAGGGGCTAAAGGAGAGTCACGATTGCAGTGAAATACTCGGAGGGCTCCTCCGGGGAGTGGACATAGGTCGAGTTGACCGAACCACTATAAACCCTTATGTTCTTGTTTTTTACTGCTTCCACATTTATTTCTTCCGCACGTTATTTCTTTGTGGTGTTTTGGTTTGTATTTGTGCTTTGTCTAAAGATTTTTAAAATACCAATTCAACCCCCCCCCCCCCCCCCCCCCCTTGGACCCCCCCCCCCCCCCCTCTTGGTTAGCCTTGGGCCAGTTTATAGGGCTTAACATCCCTAACGAACTTTCACTATCAAACCACATTCATAGCAAAAGGAAGAAATTCTTTCATATTCAATTTTTTGAAAGAACATACGAGCCATCCCTTCCACCCAAACTCCCAAGGGAAGAGGTTTGTCCAGTTCCACACGAACACAAACCCTCGCAAATTCCCTCCTCCCCCAATTAAACATATTCCCATCCATCATCAAAGGAGATCCTACCATAAAAGCTATCAAAGCCACATTATTTTCATCCCAACATTGCAAAGGAAAATGAGGTATTCTAATCCAAATATGATAAGTCAAATCTTTCATAGAATTAGGAGAAAAATAAGTAGTCCACCTCTCCATTCCAACAATTTGATTATTAACAAACCATGAACCACCTGTCAGAACACCTTCCATCGCCTCAACAGTCTTGAAAGAGCACAAATACCATCCCTTCACTAAGGTTGTAAAGTGAAACAGACCAAAACTAGCTCATTGACGTCTCAATTCCTAAGCTATAACATGGGAAGGTGATTAACTTCCAAACACCTTAGCAACCATTGAAAATTCAAGTTTCTCAGCATTCATAAGTTCAAAAGCTTCAATCAATTTAACAGCTTTCCCATCCTCCGATAAAACCACATTACCCCTATCAAAATTTAACTTGATATAAGAGTTTTTCTTCCATGGATTAGCCACAATTCCATCTGCAGCATTGTACTCAGGCAAAACTGGAGGAACTGGAACGACATTACCACCATAACTCACATCAGCTTTCCCTAAAGAACCAAAAGGCATACCAATGAGATTATGATTATTTTGGTTAACCAAATTTAGGACATTCGAATTTATCTTACTGTCTTGGACAGGGATTACATTTGAATGTCCAAACCGACTAACAAAAATATTCATACTAGAAGATGAAGCCTTAGGATCCAGTGTTTTAGCTGGAGAAAAGCCTGAATTTTTCAATAAACTCGTCTTACAATCATCATTCAAAGAAATTTCTTTACCCTTACCCTCCACATGTTTTACTGGGCTAGGATGAGAATCAATAAATTCAAAAATGACTATTCCACCATTAGACTTTCGTGTACGCACAACGTCAGAACCACGAACATCACCATTGTGAACACTGCCATGATTCCCTTCAATCTCCTTATTAATCAGGTCCAATTTGTTGAAAGAAGTGTCCTGCACATTTGAAGATGAAGATAGCCAGCGGCCATCTGCCGCCATGAACACACCCTCAGCCGAAAAAATCGAGGGAAACCGGGAGACGAAAATATGAAAATTGGCTACTTTCTCTCTTTAAAAACATGGAGCTTTTCTCTCTAGTCAAGAGCTTTCAACATGTTATGTTTAGTCTTCTAGGCTCTATGGAGATAGAACAATTGTAGAAAGGCGATAAACCTTTCTTTAGATCCTTACAAGCTTGACAAAAATCTAAGGACATATATGCTCTAATTCGTGGTGGGAAAATTTATGTCAACACGCAGATTTGATTTTCTCCTATTTTGTAATCGAATACTACATTAAGAATAAAGTACAATCTTGAGAGGCCAACACAATATTCTAAAATGGATTCAATATCAAAATAGGGTATTAAAAATTGATATTTCTATAATCAAACATAGTTCAAAGAATAACATATCATCTCAAAAGATGAACATGAAATTCTATAGAATATGTTTAAAAATAGAAATACGTTTTTTGAAAAAAGTTTATTCATTCTTTTATTTAGATATGACAAGAAAAATATTATATCATCTTAAAAGACGAACATAACATTCTTCAAGATATCCAAAAGCGAGAATGAGTTTTATAAAATTCATTATTTCTAAAGTTGAATATAACAAGTATAATATTATATTATCTGAAAAAAATAATAATAATATTCTACAAGTCTATTCAAAATTAGAAATAAGGTTTTAAAAAATATCTACATTCCCAAAGATTCTTCCCTTATAACGAGCGAAAGAAGCTGTTCGAACACCAAAACGACATAGCAAGATGGAGAAAAGCATACCTGCCGGAACAGATTGACGAGCCGATCTAGCGAGAGGAAGAGGAGGTAAAGGCGTTTAGGGTTAATACACCAAAACGGAATAGCAAAATGAAAAACATCAAACCTGTCGAAACGGATTGACGAGCCGATCGATCGAGAGGAAGAGGAGGTAAAGGCGTTGTGAGAAGATCGAGCGAGAAGACTGTCGCGGTTTCTTTTGACGAGAGTGGAACGGAGTGTTAGTTTTGATGAGGGATAAGCTTTTTAAGTGGTGTATATGTAAATAGGAAAGTTTAGGTGTTAGGTATGTAAATAGACTTGTTTTAAGTGTTAGGTATGTAAAAATCCCTTTTAAAAAATAATAATCTTAAAAGATATGGCCGGCCAACGCCTAAGTCGCAAGCGACCGTGGCAAATCAATAAATGCTCTTTTTTTTTTTCAAATACTCTTTTTATTTAAGAACATTTTATGCAGCTCAAAACAAATCCGAATAGATACGCTTGAAAAGAAAAAGCAAATCGGGGATTACTATATAAATGAAGATAAGCGGTGCGGAGAAGACCTGAAGACCCAGATCCAGATCCACGGGTTCTGGGCTCGGACACCCAAAACCCTCGCTCCAACTCCTACTATCCTGCTAGTGCCACCACTACACCGCCGGATCTGCGGATCGTCGGCCGGAAAACTGCAACCAATGCAAGGCCGCACTCTCCTCTCGCGTTCGGCTAGCTTCCGCCCGGAGAATCTTGGACCGAACGCTCTGCACCTCATCGGTAACCTCTGCTTCGCTCTCTTCGTCATCGGGGTTCTCACCTTCACCATTATCGCTGCCACCTACCAGCCTGAGGACCCTCTCCTCCATCCATCCACCAAACTAACGTCCTTCCTTATCTCAACATCCAACGCTACCTTCCACGCCGATGATTCCACCGCCCATACCGGGGATGACTTTTTAACTCCCAATTTCACCTCCGACGCCTCTTCAGTCATTACCCTCTCTGACATCAGCTTATCTGGTGATGAAAACGGGAAGTCCGTGGCAACCGACGGCGATGAGGCGACTGAGTCCAGCCCACACACCGTTTGCGCCGACGGGCCGATTAAGTGTACCGACGCGGAGATCTTTCAAATCATGATGCGCGCCGCCATTGAGATCTTCAGCGACATCCATTTCTACCGCTTCGGTAAACCAGTGCAAGGAGGCGACGACGGCATGTCTTGCGACATGGCCTGGCGTTTCCGCCCCAAGAATGCGAAGAGGACGGGTTTCTATAAAGACTACCGTCGCTTCGAGATCGCACGATCGGTCAACTGCACCTACTCTGTCGTCAAGATCCGTGACTACCACACGGGTATCAATGCCCGGAAGAAGCGAAAGTCGACCAAAGGAGGCGAGGTCAAACACAAGGGCGCCCCCGATTCACTGTCTGAAGTGGTGGTTCCGGTGGTCGGTGAGGCAGTGAACGATACCCTACCGGTGGTGGAGTCCGAGAGCAAGTTCAGAAGCGGGAAGTACTTGATCTACACTGGCGGTGGCGAGCGGTGCAAGAGCATGAATCATTATCTTTGGAGTTTCCTCTGCGCGCTTGGAGAAGCTCAGTACTTGAACCGAACGCTTGTAATGGATCTCAGCATTTGCCTAAATTCCATGTACAGTTTGAGCAATCAGGACGAGGAGGGGAAGGACTTTAGATTCTACTTTGATTTCGAGCATCTAAGGGATTCGGCCTCCGTCCTTGACCAGCATCAGTTTTGGGAGGGTTGGAATAAGTGGGAGAAGAAGGATAAGCTAAAACTTTACCTTGTGGAGGATTTCAAGATAACACCCATGAGCCTTGGCGATGTGAATGATGCTTTGATAATGAGGAAGTTTGGGACGGTCGAGCCGGATAACTACTGGTACAGGGTTTGCGAGGGAGAGACGGAGTCTGTGATCCAGCGGCCGTGGCATCTAATTTGGAAATCACGGAGGTTAATGGACATTGTTTCAGGTATAGCTTCGAGAATGAATTGGGATTATGATGCAGTTCACGTAGTACGAGGGGAAAAGGCCAAGAATACTGAGCTTTGGCCAAATCTGGCTGCTGACACCTCACCTAGTGCTTTACTCTCTTCTCTGCGAGAGAAGATTGATGATGGAAGGCACCTTTATGTTGCCACCAATGAGCCTGACAATTCTTTCTTTGACCCTCTGAAAGATAAGTACACTACCCATTTTCTTGATGATTTCAAAGACTCGTGGGATGAAAATAGTGAGTGGTACCTCGAGACAAAGAAGCTAAACAGTGGAGTTCCCGTTGAGTTTGATGGGTACATGAGGGTGGAGGTGGATACCGAGGTGTTTCTGAGGGGCAAGAAGCAGATTGAAACCTTCAATGATCTTACACATGACTGCAAGGATGGCATAAATACTTGTCGAACTGCGTCTTAAATCATGATGGACGGACACTGGCTTTTACTGGTATTTGAAAAGCTTTCAACTTTTTTTATTGCTACGTTATGTCCTCCATAGAATTTAATATTATTTTAAGAAGTCCTTGGTAAGTGGTAATGAATGATGGTCCTTTGGATATCATCAAAGTCTAGAGTTTGCTCTTGTTACACCAGTAGCTAGCAATTACTAAGCTTACCAGATTCAATATCTTATATATGTTTATCATTGTCATTTGTTGTTGTTAAGGTTTAAATTTGTAGAATTTGCACATTTTTTTTAGATTCATCTTCTTAGGTTCATCAAACTGTTTATCTTTCGTGTTGAAAGATTTGGCAAGTAGTGGAAAGACTCAAATAATTATGTCACGTCTAAATTGTTATGATGTACTCTTTTTTTATCATCATTATTTTCTTAGTATTCAGTTGGTCTCAGACTTGATGAATGTTATCCTTTCATCACAACTTTCTTGTCTTTTATTATACAATCAAATGACCATTGTGGGTTATTAAGTATGTGCAGCTTGGACTGTGGTGCTTCTCTTTTTTACAGACATGAAATATTAGTGGATCTTCATGTCATCACAATAGAAATTGGTGTGAAGTAAGATGCAGATGAACATAGGTTATTAACTTGAATATGAAATAAGTCTGGACATTATGGTTATTGGAACCTCCAAGTGCTGTGTTTAAAAGATGACTGAACGACTTGCAATTTATTTTTGTTTTTATTGCAAAACATTTGTTGAAGGGAATTCACACATGGCTGAAAATTATACTGAGATAACAAGCATAAGTAAGCTAGATGCAATGGTCATCTTACTATTTCTTTTTATAGATGATATTCTGTTAATGTGAAGAATTTTTGTCTGGCTTATTTATTTCCAGAATATTAGAAGAATTTATTTGGGCCTTAGAAGGGCATCTTGATGTCATACAGAAGTTTTTTTCAGTTGTACTTGTTTTTCTCAAGGCTTATGTAGGCATCATTACTATTGTAAAACTAGCTAGTGTCAAACGGTTAGTAAAGTATGGGGAGAGAGGATTTTGTAGGTGAGAGAGAATAAGGGAGAGATAATAAGTGGGTGGAATTCAAATTCAATTCAATCCAACATATCCTTGATTACTGCCAAAGGAATTTTGTATACACCAAAAGCAAATTGAAGCATGACTAGCCTATCTATTTAATGAACACGTCCTTTTTTATGATTGCATCATATCAATAAATATTAATCATAGAAGATTTAATGAATTCCATCAGTTTACTAGGCAAAAAAAAAAATCTTTGCTTCAAGAGTCTGCTATTGCAGACAATGTTGGAGGAGATAGGGCACTGACGGCACTAGAACAAAATTGTAGGTAGCAAGCCATAATATGTTCCTCTTGCAGCATATCTAAGATTGAAGATGAAGCACAACTTTGATCTTTAGAACGGGTACTAAAGAGGGAAGCAAAAAAATCGATTGCGGATCATCCTATAATGTCATCTAAAGTGGTTCAAGAACAACAATGATTTTTGTTAGTGGTACAGATTCAGGTTCAATCTTAAGCACATCATCAATCTTTAACTGCGACATAGGCCTTGGATCAAGTTCAGCACAAACTTATTTACTTATCAATTGCAAGTTGATCATTATTATCATCATCATTGCCATCATAATCACCATCAATCTTGAGATTTTAATCCATAGAATCAGGCTCATCTTCATGCAAATCCTCAATCAACCCAATCCAATTTTCTAAAGAATGTAAATACCATGGATCATAACAAGAAGGTTCAGTGGAGTATTGATAGTAAAATGGAGATCTAGACTACTATGTCTATGGAGTGCATTGTTGAGATTTGATCATTTTTGTATCCATCGTTGTTATAAAAAGGATAATCCTCGAGATTTTGATAGGAATACCAAGATCAATGTGATTGATGAGGTCAATGATGGAGAGTGTTAAGGATGAGGAGTAGAACATGAAGATTAGAATAGGTAGTGCTACTTAGGCTTTGTTTGAGACGGATTTTTTACTATTTTTTGAAACAACTTTTAATACAAAAATTTCTTAAACTAAAAAAAAATGTACTAGAAAGCTACTTTAAAAAGCAGTAAAAAAGCCATCCCAAACTAAGCCTTAAACTCAAAGAAGCCGCCTCTAATGACCTGCTTTAGTATTGAGACATTCACCCAAAGGTAATCAATAAATTCTGGTTATTGCATGGACTGGTCTGCTCTGCTGCCCTTTTTTTTAGGCTACTCCAGATTAAGAGAATCAGAAGTTTCAAGCTTCAGAGCAAAAGCTTGATTGGGTCATGCAATAATCTACAGTTAGCTGCTATAAATAAAGTGATTATCCATGTTAAATTTTAGTGAAGCAATATTTTCAGTGGGAGCTGAGCTTAGGATTTGACTCGGGAGTCGAGCTTGATGCAACTCGTTTGCACCCCTAAACTCATCAAGAAGTTGTCTCATGTGCTATTTTCTATCTCCGTAATTATTGCAGGATGACTATTCTTCACATTCTTGAACCCTTTTTAGTGCTATTTTAATTCGTTTCTGCAACAGTTGGATCTCACCATTTGAGTTTTGGTTGATACATTTGGTGAGGCCTAACACTCTCAACCAGAATTAATTATTATGTGCGGACGCCAAACGCCGTCCGGAGACCAATTAATATGCATTATATTATTCCTTCGTTGTGTACCGCAGCTCGGTACCGCTGACGTGGTTGTACCTAATTCACCTTTGGACATAGATCTATGTCCAGCGACTGCACGGAATAATTTCTCCCCAACCTACTTGTTGATTTCAAGTGAAAGCTTAGGGTTATTTATTAGCCGCAAAGGTTATTTATTAACCGCAATTGATTCACAGGATTTATTGGTAATTTCCCTTGCTAGCCGTTTATGTTTTCTTGTTTGATCATGTTTATGCTTCTTATGAACCTACCATTTATTCATTTTTCTTAGTATCATTATGCATTGAGCGTATACTAATTAATGTGAAAGATTATATAGTTCTGATTTTATAATCAAAATCATTCTGCTTGCTTCAAGCATTATAAATTATCCTTACATTATTGTCCATCTTATTTGAAAAGCCTTTTGTCATTACAAATGGTGAATTGCCTTAAGTAGAAAATTTGGTGGAGAATTAACTTAAATTTAGTAGAAAATTTGGGTCAGGATAGATAAGTGTAATATAAATTTAAATTAATTAATATAATTTATTAAACATAAATTCATTCTAATTAAATTTGGGTTTGGGTGAAAACTATCAAAACTGTAAGTCTTAAAAATATGTTATACTCTTATTGTAGATTAAAATGATGACTTGCATTTGAATGTCACAAGATGCTGTAGCTAAACATAGGAAGATAGAAGTTCATCTCTTCTAAATAAATATGTAAAACATTCTAACACAAATTATATTTGTGCATTGTTACTATTGTATAAAATTTAACAAATGATTAATGTTTTCTTGTGCTGGGATTTTTGTTTATGATTAATATTCAAGGCAGATGAACATCTCTCAAGCTGTTAGTGAGACTTAGGTTTCGTTTGGGACGATTTTTTTACTGCTTCTTAAAGCAGTTTTTTAGTTAAAAAAGTAAAAATTTATACTAAAAAACTGCTTTAATAAGCAGGAAGAAAGTCGTCGGCTTCATTTGGAACAACTTTCTTCCTGGTTCTTAAAGCAACTTTTTTAATATAAAAATTTTATTTTTTTTACTATAAATCTACTTTAAGAAGCAGTAAGAAAATCATCCCAACGAAGCCTTAGAGAAAACATATGACACCAGAAATGCCCAGTGAAGAACAAATTACTATCATTATTGCATAAACAGATTGAGACTCCATTGAATCCAGTTCACCAGATCACAACATTGTTTTGCTAAGCAGTCCGAATATAGTTTTCATACAGAAAGCTAAAATCCTCTCAGCAGCTTATTTGCCACACAAAATTTCACCAGGTTACATTAAACTAGAATGGCACTGGTAGCATGCTCCAAGGTAATTACTGAAGGGGCGTCAGACCAACCACACCTGAATCGAAGAAAGGTAACAGTTAACTTTTGCCTCATGAGTGGTAAAAAAATCATTTATAGAAGTGTGAAGGTTAGTGAGAAAAGAATATAGGGGCCTTATAAAGCAGAAACTTGCATTTTTAAGGTCGAAGAACAGACAAACCTAACAGACTTCATGTAATAGAACCAAACCAAACTTATTACAGGGAAGCATGCAATAACAAAAATAAACAGTCATTTGTATAAAATTCTCTATAGCATAATCATTTTGTGAAAAATAAAGACCCCAAATATTTTGACTTGATTAGCGCCCTACACCACATCAACAGCCCTCAAATGCAAAAAACTCTACTTTTGAGAGTTAGTATTTAAGTAGCACCCAAGAGATTAGGTTTCTCAAAATGGATTTTCATGTTGTGTTTGTGTCTAACTCGAAATTGACCCACCTTCAATTCACTCGACCCGATTAGCAAAATGGGTCACAAACTCAAACCTAAACCCGAGTTGGCCCCAACCCAACCGACCCAACCCGACACGCTAGCCCGATTCCAACCACGAGCTACGAGATGCGATGTCCGCAATGCAATGTCCGAAGTTTGCAACGTGATGCGGTAATGGACGTCTGGACAAGCGCGACTGCGACGAACGGGTCAGTTAGGGTTGATGGCGGGTTTTCGAGTTAACCCAAATTTGACTCGAAATTACAATCGTGTCAGAATATGAAACTAAAAACCGACCCATTTAGCAAACAGGTTAACCCAGACCTGGAAATTTCAAGTCGTGTCAAATATTAACACCCTTACAAGAGATCAAAAGCTAGTTATTGTATCATCCTCGGCCATTTATATAACATTCAAAGGAGGCATACCTCTCCACCTTGACTAGAAACATACAACAACATCCCATTACATGGGGTCAGCTATATGAATCATTTTTCTCAATTGCGTCCTATTAAGAGTCAAATTCTCATTTAAATCTAATAAAAAAAATTCATTTCTAATATTTTCTAACCAAGTCTTTTTAGGTCTACCACAACCTTTCTTAATATAGGTCAAATTTAATATGTCTACTCTCCTAACCGAGTCATCGAAAAACATGTTTTATATGACCAAATCATTTAAGACGACTCTCTCTAATCTTATCTGCCATTGGAGCTGCTCTAACGTTTTCACATATATATTTGTTTCACATTCTGTCTGTAAGAGTGAAGCCACTCATCCACCTGAGCATCCTCATCACTACAACACTTAACTTAATTTTATGTTTTTCTTTTAATGGCTAACATTCTACGCCATAAAGCATTGTAGGTCTCACCACCATCTTATAGGATTTTCTTTTAAGTTTGAGGGGTAATTTTCTATCACACAATAGGCCCAATCCATTCATCCACTTCAATCATCCAACTTGAATTCTATTAATAATATTTCCTTCTATTTCATCATCACTATGAACAATAGATCCAAAATATCTAAAACGTGTACTCTTATTAATAACTTGATCACCCAAAGTCACAATCCCCCCACTAGATCTATTTAATACAAAAATTATATTCCACGTATTCATTTTTAGATCTACTCAAGCAAAAACCTTTAGACTACGATTAATCTCCATAATTCAAGTTTAATTTCAACTCTCTTACTAGTCTTATCAACAAGAAGAATATTATCAACAAAAAGCATACACCATGGTACATCCTCTTGCAAAGCAAAAAGACATGTGATTAAAGCTGATCCATGATGTAATCCAACATAAATAGGAAAATATTTGATCAAACCACCTTGTTTTTGAACACAAGTAATAGCTCTTGCATACATATCCTTAATGACTTTAATATAAGGATTATAACCCTCTTTCTTTTCTAGGACTCTCCAGAGCACTCCTTTCGAAACTTTATAATAAATTTTCTCTAAATCAATAAATACCATATGTAAACCCCTCCATATTCTCTCTATAATTCTCCATCAAACCTCTTAATAAATGTATAGCTTCTATAGTAGACCTACCCGACATGAATCCAAATTGATTTTGAGAAACATTAGTGTCACATCGTAACATGCTCAATAACTCTCGTAGTTTTAAAGTTTGACACACAAACTTAATTCCTCTATAATTCACACACTATTGTGCATCACCTTGATTCTTAAAAATATGAATCAATACACTCCTTCACTCATCTGGTATTTTTTTAGTCTTCAAAATAATATTGAAAAGTTTCGTAAGTTAAGAAATTTCTTAATTTCCTAAACATTTCTACACCTCTATTGGAATAATTTCAGGTTAAACATCTTTTTCACACTTCATTTTCTTTAAAGCCTCTCTAACTTTAATTTTACTAAAACATCAATAAAAATAAAAATCTCTATTTTCATTTAGGATGCTAAGGTCACTAAATTAAATCATATTCTCAAAATCTTTGTTGAAAAGCTTATCAAAATATCCATCCACCTTTGTTGAATATCCTCTTATAATAAAAGTACTTTTTTATCTTCATCCTTAATGCACTTCATTTGAATTAAATTTTTACTTCTCATATATCTTTGTTTAACTAATTTATACATATATCGTTCTCCCTCATTAGCATCTAATATATTATATATAAATCATTAAAAGCTAAATTATTTGCATCGCATATTATTTTCTTAGATTCCTTATGAGCCTTTTTTATATATTTCCCAATTTTTAGAGTTTGTACATCTAAACTAATTTTTATAAAAAAACTTCTTGTTTTTTTATCTTTTCTTGCATATTTTAATTCAACCACTAATTATTTTTACTATTATAAGCTTTTTTTTAAATACTCCAAGCACATCCTTTGTAATATTTTTAATATCACTTGGCACTTTTTTCTATATAACATTAGTTTCCTCATGCACAGATAAAATATTAAGATTTTTAATGTTATTTTCAAAAATATTTTTGTTTGTGTTCTTTAAATGACCCCATCTAATATTCTAGAATAACATTTTAATTTATTTTTCATATTCTACCCCTTAATCGTAAAGTCCAAAACTAATAAGCAATGTTGGGTACATAAACATGTACTTAGTATTTTTCCTAACTAGAAACATGTGGTTAACATTTTTCCTAAATATCACTTCATCTAAAATAACACTCAACATCCACATAGGCAAGTGGAACTTGAATGATGGGATTTATAGAAGCAACAATTGTAACATAAATACCTTATGCAGAAGAATCAATAGATAATATATCTTCAATGTTAGAACATAAAATTTATAAACATGTTAGTAATTTTGCTACTTATTTTGAAAGCACTGTAAGCCTTAGCCTACAATTTCTTATGGGATTTGCGTGATGTGCTTGGGATGTATGATAATCATGAGAAAGTCATTTTTATTATACCCTGAAGCACTTCTCTTAACATTCATATTTCCAAAATATTTTATTTTGTGAAATTTAATATGCTTTCTAACCTCATCATGTAAATCATGTACAAATGATCTAACAGGATTAAAATGGACAAAAACTATAAGCTTTCCAAGGTTCATCTCTGGACAATCTCAAATGATAATTTGTCATAGATTTACATACATTATTAGTACATGTCAATTTGCAATTAGGAAGACACAAATACAAATTACATAAATATTGGTAATGCAAAGCCTACTAACTTTATAAAGATATCCATCTCAAACCATTAAGGAAGCAGAAGGATAGCCTGAAAAATCTTTGTGATTGTATTAAATTAAATTAAAGTTAAGACATGTTAAATACCCTTCTTCTATTCTGACAAAACCAGACACATTAATTTGCACAGAAGTTGAGAATTGGTAAACTCAAAATAATATTGCCAGTATCTTAAAGCTTGAATGAGAATATAAAATTATCTATTATATTTGGAGCATCTCAACCAAATCTTATTCCAACTTCACACTAATGAGGGCAACTGGTTGATCTTGGTAAAGAACATCACCTATAATAGAACAAGAGGCATCATAGAATACTAAAAAAGATATTTCTAAAGTCTGAAGTCTCAAAATTGATGATGTCATCAACAAATTTTAATTAACACATTGTAAATAAGATAGGGTCCAAGCAAACTAGTCCTTAATAAAATTGTGAAGCAGTGATAAAATATAACTAATTAGAAATAATCTTCTATAAAATATAACTAACTAGAAAGATCCTAACATCACAAATAGATGGGGTTTGGCCAACGAAGGATTGCCTTGATCGAGGGGGAGAAGGAAGCTCGATGTGCACTGCTTGGATCTAAAGAGAGAACACTCAATATGACCATTTTTTGCACAAAAAAATGGCATTAATTAATCAATCAATAATCCATTCAATTATAACCCATTGATCCCTATTTATAAAAATGGGGTTATAACTTATAAGTATAAGGCAAAAATTTTCCTAACAGAAATATTTAAATTCAAGGAGTTTATTATCCAAAGATAATAATTAAACCTAATAACATAAATCAAGTAAAAATATGAAAAATCATCCAAAAAATAGAAATAAAATTGGCCCAATTCAGCTCGTTTGTGACTTGTTTTGAATCATTGTGATTGGCTTATGGTCAATCAAGCTTATATATTTTGATAAGGCCTGATTAGTGTCTTGCACTGCATCATTTTGAGTTGGATGTCAACATACATCAATCTGACCAATAACATGAATAGAATCAAATAATACTATGGCATCATTGTGAAGTCGTAATAGTGAAAATATTGGTACTAATGCAAAGAGTAGCATCTTGTATAAGAATCTTGATAAATGGGGGAGAACCTAGACATCTTTTATACACTATTTCATTATGCATGAGAACCTACAGAAATTGCATTATGCATGAGAACCTACAGGAATTGGAAGCAATGGAAAGAAATTCAACCAATCGATGATAGAGTGAATATTAATATAAAGATTAGGGAATAGCCTATATCTCCCCGACTAAGATGGTTGGAGAGCAACAATGGCCGTGAAAGGCTTTTTAAACTCAGGCGCCGCATCAATCTCATGCATAGTCACTTGGTTAAGCTTTGAGCCAAGCTCAACCTCATCCAGTACATCAATATTGCTTAGTAAATCAGATTCATAGGCTAACACAAAAACATCATCAAGCATAGGTAGTTAGGTACAAAAGCTACAATCAGCTCAGAATAAGGCATATTCTCATGCATTGTAGGTGAAACATCAAGCTCATATACTATCACATAATCACAATCATCATCATTTAATATCTCAAGATTTTCATCTACAAAAAAAGGGTCATCTTCATATACTTTCACAATTGGTCCTATAAAATTCTTCTAATGATCCAAATGATTTGTTGGTCCTAATGCTTTTTGTACATGTGCTAGTAACAAGATTTATTGTTTTGGACTTTCAACCCTTTATTGTTTTGGACTTTCAACCCTTGCATTATTATCTTCAAGTTCATATTACTTCCTTTTGATGGATGAGTGCATGTAGGAGTAGAAGGCTACTGATATCGATACCAATGCAATGGAAATCAATAATCAAGACACCTAAGTGCATTGATCCTAGGACCAAGGATTGAGTAGATCAATCGACATAATAACCAGGCCAAGGAGATTGATTATAATACTTATATTGATCAAGATAATAATATAATGATGGGAAGGATCGTTCACTTTGCTCGACAAACACCCACTGGCTTGAATATTATTCATGGGAGATTGAGTGTAGGGGCATGTGCCGAGCCAAGATAGGTCCTACAAGCAATGGTTGTTCATGGAGGTGGTGTTAAGTAGGTAGGTGATTAAAATTTTGGATTGAAGGATTATCCAACTCTGATACCAAATAATAATGATTGTAGTAGAGGGGAGGAAAATAGATAATCATAATCCACCAGGATAGGGAACCAAGAGATAAGACGAGAATAAAAGAATTCAATTACATTAAATAATCATTAGCTATTATCAATATATAGTATTATAGGAATACCTAACCTTAAAAATCTAGGTTTGGATTGACCCATTTAATAAATGGGTAGGGTTCGGATCCGAAATTCTAATATGTTTAATTGGTGGGCTGATTTCAATTTGACTTGGGAACCAGATTTTGACCCAATAATGATCCGTTTAATTTTATCTTTAAATTCTTCTATTTGTTGGTATGCTCTTCTTATTTTTTTATCAATTAACTTGAATTAAATGGTTGATAAGTTACACATTTTTTTAATCAAAATGGTTTAATAAATTGGATTCAGTTCATATGGGTCTCCAGCAAATTGGGTTCATTTTCACATTTTTTACTTATTATTAAACAAGTTAGTTTTAATTAACTAGATTTAGAATGGGTCAATTTTGGGGCAGACTTGAACCAGACCCATTAATTTGTTTTTACACATGTAATAGTTCTTATGCGCCCTTTTTATTGAATAGGGCCCTTAACCCAAAAAAAAAAAAAAAAAAACTTAGCCAAATAAGACATGCTCTAATGTGCCCTTATGGCATATTGAACACAAGAAAATTAGAACATGCAAAAACAAAAAATAATTGAACACATGGTTGAAAATCATTATGAAAAATAAATTGATGATTGTAATTTTCATTAATTAATATCTTTTTTATTGGTTATAAATGTGATTACAACATATTTTCAAAATGATATGCCTTAATGAATGCATTTCACATATTACAGTTCTAATCAATTTAACATCAACTAAAATAATTGGAAAGTTGGAAAAAAATAATAAATATTTTGAAGACAAAAACTTAAAGTTAGTAAAACAAAGACAGTATAGGACATACAATTTTATTAGGTGTGATATTAACAATTATTAGTCAATTTTATTATAAGACAATGATATTTAGATATGATAGATTTGAGTTTCTTAACTATTATACAAATAATGAAAATATATATGAAGATAAAACTCCTAAAGCAAAGACTGGTTAAAATGGTGAAGCATAGGTGATGTAAAACGGAGACGCCGGCTTTGTTACGGAGAGGATCTCCTCTCCAAAATCTGAACACAAGCCTAGGTGAGGCCTTGGAAAATTTCAGCCTTGATGGTGAAGAGGAAAACTGAGAAGAAATTTAGATTTTGGGAAGGGGATGGGGAAGAAGTTCCAAAACTCCTTTTAAAATCTGTAATATTACTTCAGAATTTTAATCAAAATCTGAGAGCAAATCGAGGGGTAAACAGCAGCTTTTGACTCTTAGAAGTCTTGGACAGCAATTCGTCTTCCCACACAGCAGCTAGAGGTCTTCTGAGGGCTGAGGAAGAATGGTGGACAGCAGTTTTCTTAGGTTTGGAAGAGGGGACAGCCTCTTCTAGCATCCAGGAATTTCTGGATAGCAAGTTGGGGTAGCCACGGGTGCAGAACAGCTGATATTCTTTGTTGAAATTCCCTGAGTATGGGAGAGGAAGCAGACAGCCACCACGAGCTCTCTGGATGCAGCTGGAAAATTCTGGCCAGCCACTTACAAAAAGTGATCTCGGTCGTCGATCTTCAGCTCCTCCTCGGATTGGCATGGACGGTTGGATGTCCGCATCAATAGGAGTATTATGCAATAAGAGGATATCATAAAAAACTAACTATGTTGATTATGTAGAATGAATTCAAGTGTTAGCTAATAAAAAAGTTGAAGTTGAATGTAAAAAAGTGAGAATGTTTAGAAGAACGAGGGCAAATATGAAAAATAAATTGATACAAAATTTCATTAGATAGACAATGGGAGTTATATCTATTAAAGATAAGACAATAGCCTTTAGACTCAGGTGCTTTACATATGTACAATGAAAGGAAGAAAATGATCTATTAGAAAGGTGGATAAAATAAGCATCAAAATATTCGAAGAAAATAATGGTAAATCTAAGATAATATCAATAGAAACCATTCAAACTATTTGCATAGAATAGATTTATCACCTCATGCAACACTTAGCAAGAACAAATGAAAAATGACAATACATAAGTCCAATCATAAATAGTAGGGATGAACCTAATGATGATGATGATAAGAAACAATTGGTTAAGTAGAGATTATCATAGTTTAAAAACTTCTAGGGGAAGCCATGCACAAACTAGATTTTCCAGTTACATCAACTATATGGGTGAAATGATGAAGCAACTGTAGACAACATTAGCTTACCACAAGCCAATCTGCCACCTGCATTTCCAGTTGTAAGGCTAAGTTCATGTCCTCCTGGAAAAGGTAGGAAAGAAAACAAAATTCATATCAGAAAGGAGGTGAGGAAAACATAGCCAATGAAGAAATGAAAGGAAAAATTCAAATCATCAGGCATTTGACAGCAAATGCATGTGTTAAGCATTACCCTTTCCAAGATCATCCTCAAGCTCATGAACCACAAATGCTCTTCCAACAACAGAATTAGGTCCCTCGAGTGGTATCTGATTAACAAAACATCATAGTATTAAAAAAAAAGTATATGATGTAAGTTTCACCCTAAATTTAGTGGAGAAATTTTAAAAGGCGCTGCTCCGACAGGAATGATTCCAGCTCACAGAAAAAAGGGAGATAAGTTCAAGGTTAAAGAGACACCTGATTATCTACAATTGTCGCCTCAGCTATACCTATTAACCCAGCAAGTAATAGCAATTAGCAAACAGTGGAAATTTAATACTCCTCAAACTGATAAAATAAGAAAAGACGTATGCATATTACCTTCATCATTAGCAACTATATTTCCCAAATCACCCGCATGACGGACTTCATCTTCAGGAGCACCATGTGTCAGGCTGTTAGGGTTGAAATGGGCACCTTCATAGAAAGTTCCAAAACTTTGACCATAGAAGAATAGAAAAGGAAAAAATGGGGCGGCTTTATTGCAACAAACTTAAAAAGGAATGGAATGCTGTCTAACTAGTCAAATTGCTATTGCTAAAGCAGGTCTGACCACCTACAAGCAGGGATCTTAAAATATATGAACATATAATATGCCAACTAGAAAATTAATTCATTAGCATTCATTTTACTCCATGATTAAATAGATAAGAAATAACAGAATTTCACCTGTTGAAATGCATCCATTGGTAGTATCCCCAAATTCATGCTGCAGAAAAGAAGTTATGTAAGTTGGGAAGTAGCCAATATAACATAAATGGACAAAGGAACATCAAGAAGTATGCTATATGTGCAAACATTTTAGAGTATATGTGAATTATTAATGCAACACTTACAAGATGGAAACCATGAGATCCTGGAGTAAGTCCCGTGACACGAACATTAACAGTTGTGGGCCCTGTTATAAGAAAACTATAAATGCATGATAGGCGCAACTTATGTATATAAATTACATGCATTGCCAGCTAAATCAACATTCTTCAAATTCATAATTCATCTCCACAAAGAAAGACACACATGATGTTTTTTGGGGTGTGTTGATTGGCATAAAGATTCACCATCCATGAGAATCATTCAATGAGGGTTTCTAGGCTACAGAAAATGTTTACGCTTTTAGAGGCTATAAGTGGTTATAGCTTCTTGCTTCCTTAAACTTTTCGCTTGTCCACCATTTTATTAGAGCACATTTGGTTGCTCGTAAATAGAAAGCATCTTTTAAAGAATGACAATCAATTCACTCATTTTATGAGTGAAAATAAAATTATCCACATTTGAGGGATTTTGAAGATTTTTGTAGAGTTTACAACAACCAAGATGATGGCTTTAATAAATAATAAATACACCTTTTTTAGAATGTGTTTCTAACTTAAATCAACCAAATTGACCACCCTTACATAAAAAAGAAAAAAAATCAACTCTCAATCTAATTGAAAAAGATCAAGTTTAAACCTAATAGTTACAGCTTAGAATCAGCTCCAAAAACCTATGTAGGCAGAAGAACATGAACTTATTACTTGAAAAGAAGATGGCATTTTCACTTACGTTCAATTATATTCTTAGCCACCCAACCACCTTGTCAGATGAGATTGTTTCAGTAGCAACAGAAAAACCACCAGTCCACCGACCATTCCTAATTTCAAATATTTAACGTCACAATGCAGAAGATTCTCCTACCTCAACACACAAGCAAATTTCCTCCGACTTGCCAAAAACAGCTTCACCTCTTAACAAAGAAAATACATAATTCAACATGCAAGCCCACCAATTCATCTCTCTATTCCAACCATCTACTTAACAAAACCCTAGTCTCCTCAACTCCCCTCACCCAACAACCCTTGGCCCAAAAACAAAATCCGAACTCCAAACCCTGCCCCCCGTTGAAGTTTTCCCCAATGTGCGCAGTTCCTTAAATTCGTACACCATATGCGATGAATAAAGAGAGAAAATGGCCAAAAAAAGAACAAACCGTCATCTTCTTGGACGAGGGTGACAACGCCCTCAACCTTGGAGCTGCCCTTAAGGACAGCAACGGCCTTCTTCTTAGCGAACACGACGGTCATACGGCGAGGCATTACGGCTGCGGCGAATCTTCGAGATTGTAGTCGAAGGGGCTGGCCGGAGAGAGCAGAGGAAAAGGGGCAGCTACTGGGTGAAAGAGGCAGCAGAGGAGAGCACGACGGCTTGGCGGCGATGATGGCGTTAGCAGCGGCGGGAACGGAGGCCATGCCGAACTCTCGAGAGGAGGATTCAGCCGGAACCAGAGAGTCACGGGAGTGATAGATAAGGGGCTGAAAGGAAAGGCCGATGATCGCCAACTACTATATAGAATTAGCTGCTCCGCCAAAGAACGGTGAAAATCGCTGCTTTTGTTCATAATTTTTATTTTTAATTTTTTACATTAAAATATGTAATTGTTTTGTTAATTAAGGATAAATTTGAGGAAAAATTATTATGCGCAGATCTCAAACAGAGTTTGAATGCCAATCAAAATACGTCAAGTCATTTTTTTACTCGGTGCCGGTAACATGGCGCTTTCTGGTTGGTCTCTAGACTATCCGGTGTCCGCACAAAATAATTTCTCCAATTTGAGATCATTATAATTGTATGTAAAAATAGTTGAATTATTATTGAGAAAAAAATAGTAGTATACATTCCTAATAGTCAAAAATCAAAATTGTCTTATTTGCATATTTAGTATCTTAAATTTATTATTTACTCATTTAACACTTAATTTTTTAAATATTATAAAAAATAATACTCTTCTCACCCGGTCTCTAAACATTTAATCATTGAATAATATTTTGACTATTCACAAGCCATTAGTCATGTCAATGCCCTTCACCTATGTAAACAAGTTCAATATCATAAACAACTTTCCTCATCGTAAGTTACTCGCGTCTTTCATCCCTATGAGTTCCTGTTATGACTTCTTCATTTCTTCATCATCCAAGCGAGATCCTTCGCAATTTGGACACAATGTGATCTTATACAAACATTGATAAATGACAATAGTTTGGTCGAAAGTCTACGAGGATGAATGTTGGTCGACTAAGGACAAAGGATAATAGTGGGTGAATGGTCGAAATGACAATGCAAGTGTACATCAATAAAAGGAAATGCAAACTTATTAGGAGTTGGATATCAAGAGTCAAACATTGTGGGTGCCATTAAACTATAGTTGCCAATTGAGATTGAGAATTCAAAATTAGATGTTGCCAAAATCGAGTTTTAAACATCAATCAAAGAGTTGATTGTGGACTTCAGGTCAATTTATGAATGATTCTATGTTGATCCTTTCTTCATAAAGCATTAATTAGACTCCATAACAATATTTAAATGTTGCATTGACTACAACATAACACTTCTATTTTGAAGATGGATGTCATGAGCCTATTAATTAATGTAAACCTTTCAATGGCCAGTGGACTAAAGTTTCATCAACTTGTTTTTTATATTCTTTCCAACATGATTTCAAAGATGAAATAAGACCAGGCCATTGAGCCATTCTGAATTCTATCGAAATTGCATCTCCTATGTAACAGCTAAAGTTATCTTATATAGTGCTAGCATTCTTATTTCATCTGATTTCAGCGCTGCCCTTGCTTTTTTTTTTTTAGTATATCCACAATTTGGCCACTAGCAATGTTCTTCGAGATCTCGAATTCGTCATCTAGTTGGGTGAGTGTCTTTCGCAATGCAATCATGAAGTTATATGTAGCTCACACTGATCTACTGATTGAGAGCTTTGACTACTAACAAAAAAGGTTTGGATTTGAAACTTGGGTATTTGATTTATGTGTGAATTTACCTTAATGGTTCAAACATCTAAAAAAAAAATCACAAAGTTGTTTCAATAATTAATAAAAATGTTAACGTCAGGATCTTTGTGCACTTCTTGGTGAAATAAAAAAAAATTTAATTTAGAGGTGTCAAAAAAGATTAATAGGTTGACTTTGGGATCAATTAGAAACCAATCAACTAGAACTTGACTCGTTTATTAAACAAATTCACTAGCAATCCGAATGATCCAAATCTGATATGATAACCATTTTTTATTAAAAAAGTAGAGGGGGTTTACATACGTACTACTTTATTTCATACTATTTGCATATCTAACACCTAAAATTTTAATATTACATGCCTACCATCCACAGAATAAATATGAGCGCATGAAATAAAATATTAAAGTTAATAAGATGGTATGAGTGATAAAAATGAAATATAAGAGTGATAGGAATATAATATTAAAATTTTAGATTTTTAATAGCATGAAATAAAATGGCATGTATATAAATCCCTCAAAAATTTATAACTTGTTAAACAAATATTTTGGATTAATTGATTAAAAAATAATCATACCAGCAAATAAAAAAAAAATTAAAAAATTATTAAACGGATCACTTTCAAATCAAAATTAAGTTGATAAGTCAATCTAAATTCAACTTATTTAATAAACAGATCAGAATTAGAATTAGATAAAATGGGTTTCTTTATCATATTTTATGTTATCTCATACCAAGTGTAGTCTCATGAATTTGGCTAAAATCTATGGTAGGGAAATGTCTACCAGGCCCTTCTTAAATTACAACTGAAACATATTTGATTACATTGATTATCTTATTATCATATTTAAAAGTTTTATGGTAATGAGAAGCGCATGACCACTCGACAGTGATTCTGATCTTCTAGTTATCATCTCAATACAATTCTTATTAAATCTTTATGCTTAAATTTTATCATTGTTTAATTTTTTTTAATATTTTATTTAAATCAACTCTAATCATTCAAAATGATTTGTTGCTGAATTGAGAGTATAACTAAGGCTTCATTTTGGGCGACTTTTTTATTGTTTTTTAAAATAGTTTTATAGTTTAAAAATTAAAATCTTTATACTATGAAGCTACTTTAAGAAGCAATAAGAAAGTCATCCCAAACGTAGCCTAAGAGCATCTCCAACCGAACGCCAAACATGCGTATGGCATCGTTCGATCGCTCCAGCCTCTTCCGTCATTTACTTGCAGGTGAACAGTGCGACGTCAATATTAGCGTTGCACTGTTCACCCACGCTATTTTACTCTCTCAACTGGATTTGCGCGCGAAATGGGAGAAGAATTGTTACCTTCGCAGAAGCACTTAAAATGGAGTTCGATTGGAGCAGAACTACCACATTTTGGAGTTTTGTTGTATTTTGCCGTTGAAAATGGAGTTCTCGGTTGGGGATGCCCTAAGCTACCAGCCAACCATTGAGAAAACAAGAGAAGCCCCACTGGCCTTATAAAGCAGGTGTGTCTAAAAAACTTTGCATAGCGATTAACAAATCTGGTTATTAAGGCTTCGTTTGGGATTTTTTTGTATTAAAAAGCTGATTTAAGAAGCCGTAAGAAAGCCGTCCCAAAAGAAGCCCGAATTGCAACTTGGAATGCGGGTGGTTGAAGTTTCTTCTGTGAGGGTTTGATCCGCTTGGCTGGAGGAATGTGAACCAAGTTTGAATTAAGAAACCTCTAGAAACTTCAATGGTGGGATTTCATCATATACTTCATAATACCCTCAATATATAGTAATGAAATTGTCTTAAAAAGCTCAATCATTTTCATATTTTGGGCTATTTTTTGTTAAAATTGACTAGACTGGCAACCATTTAGCAAGTGAATGTAAACTAAGTAGTATCATATTCTACAATCACAAGATGGTTATTACTATCCAGATTTCAGATAAACAAGTGATATATAATTTTTGCAATTGCATTAGTTTCAAGGTCCTACCTTTCTATTATCAATCCATGTTGTATTAGTCCTGTGAAGTCCCAGTTGCACAATTACATAAAATTTGTGATCTGCAAGAAAGAGTCCAGTGATTGTGAGAAGGCAACAGCAGAAAATAAAGAGTGGTTTCAAGTAGAAATGGAATTCCAGCTCCCAAAAACAAAAGAGGAAAATGTCAGATTTCAATAGGTCATATCAGCATTTTAATCCTATAAACTGAACAGAATTCTCATTTCAGATCCTTTTCATATCACAATTAAGTGATTTGATTGTCAGAGAATTTTTTACAAGCAATTATATTTGTTGTCGTAATGATTTTAATTTCTAAGTGCTTTGACATTATAAGTCAACGAAAATAGTTCTTCCAATATTCTCTCATAAATGATTAGGAGAACAATCATTCATAATACTTCAAGGGAAACTATGAATTGAATTCCCATTTATTGTAAGTAGGCATAAAGTCAAATGGAGTAAAAGGCATATAAACAACGAGAAGACGGGGATAGGCATAAGAATCTAAGGTTTTGTTTGGGACGACTTTCTTGTTGCTTCTTAAAGCAGCTTTTTAGTATAAAAATTTTAACTTTTGTACTAAAAAGTTGCTTTAAGAAGTAACAAAAAAACAGTTCCAAACGAAACCTAAATCATCGCACACATACCAGCTCGATAAGTAAAATCACTGCAGAGGACAACCTTCCACCCTTATTTCAGAGGTGCGAGTATTGTATCCATTTTGCAAATCTTGGTCACATAACGTTTTTTTCCCTGAAAAAGATCAATACATTACGGTATAGCGATTAAACAAGCAATGGACAAAATGGAAACTGAACCTGATATGCCCGCAGCTAGAAGACAATTTATTGCTGATGGCCACTGACCAGTATTTCTGGGTTGTGATATACGGCCAAGTTTGGACTTTCTCGTCACTGCACTTTTCTTCACTATAATGATGCATTTCTGTCAGAGAATAGCCATAACTTGCTATTATACAGATTTAGTAAAACATAGCCAGTAATTATATTGAGAAAATTGTTACTTTCTTTGGGGGGTGCAATGAACAACAGGCATTTTGATACAATAGCGGGTAAAGAGTCCATTTTTTCAGGATTGCACAAACTATTCAAGTTAAATAATGTGGCAATTTTATTTATAACATCAAAAACATTACCATTTACAATATTAGTATTCAACTTACTTTATTTACAAAATTATCACTCAAATCTTAAAATAAAACTACAAACTTTCATTATTATGTTTTGGCCACAACACGAGCTAATATACGGTTTTGCTAATTCATTTTTTGGGGCTTATGTGGATTTTTTAAGTTAGAAAAATTTATAGGAAAAGAAGGCTGAGTTAAATTCAGATTTGTGAGGGAATTATAACTTGAGGTAGAGCAATTAAAGAATCTTGAAATTCTTAAAAGCAAAGTAAAAAAAAAAATCAGAATGCCTAGAGAACAACCAACCAAAAGAATGCAAAAAAATAACAATTGGTTGGGCAAGGGACAAACCTAAGCATTTGATTCAAGCACCACAAAGGCATGGGAAACCATATGTCAGTTGTTAACTTATTATGCATTTGTGGTTGATTTTCTAAAAGGAGATGAACCGAATTCCTATAAAGAAGTCATATTAAGAGAAAAAAGTAATAAATGACATCAAGCAATGAAAGAAGAGAACTGTAGCATTTGATTGTGCAAGAAATAAGAAGAATAGCACTCGGAAATTTGTAGAAAAGTCAAGAAATAAGAAGATTGTTAACAGCAAATGGTTGTACAAGAAAAAAGGATGAAATTTCTAGAGTATAAAAAGCCAAGATTCAACGCTAGACTTATAGCAAAAAGGTTTAGACAAAAAAGGTATACGCTATACAACAATTTTTCTCTCTAGTAATAAGACATACATCTGTATGTGCTCTTCTTGCGACGGTTGTACAATTTGATGAGCATCTTGAGCAAATGAATGTTAAAGCAACATTCTTGTATAGAAAATTAGAGGAGACTATCTGTATGAATCAATCTGAAGGATTTGCCAAAATTGAAACTAAAAATCAAATATGTTCACTGAAAACATCCTTAAATTCGTTGAAGCAATTTCCAATAATGTGCTATAAAATATTTGACGGGTTTATGCTTGATATTGACTTTACTCATAGGATCTATGATTCTTATGATGTGTGTTATCCAAGGTGGTCAGTAGCACTATCTATCTTTAGCTTTTTGCTGATGATACTTGCAAGTGATAGCTAAGAAAAACTCACAAGATCAAAGGCTTTTCTCAGTGTGCAATTTGAGGTTAAGGATCTCCGTTCTGCCAAGAAAAGAAAGGCAAGAATTGCTCTTGCCTTGAGGTACATACATCATCAAAAAGACTGAACAAGTATGAGATAACAGCGTCTAGACATATTTCTACATATTTAGCATAATCTTTTAAGTTGAGCAAGGAAAAAGCACCTGATTATGAAATTGAAAGATCATATATACAGAAATTTCCCTATTAAAAAGTTGTGGGTACTGCCATGTATGCTATGATTTATTGTAGGTCAGATTTAGCTTATTCACTCAAAAGTTATAACCAGGCTCATGGCTGATCCATGGAGAGTCGGAGAAATCACTCAAAATTTGCAAAATTGGCCTTAATGACTTAAACGCAACCATGACCTTGGAATTGATGTATGAAAAATCATATTTTCTATACAAAGTGATTATATAGTATTTAGATTCAAATTTTGTAGGATATTTTAACACTCAAAAATCACTTATAGGTTGTGTTTAAAGCATTTGTAAACAGTGTTAGCCTACAAGGCTAATTTGAAACAAATTGTATCCTTGCCTACAACTGAGTTAAATATATTGCTACATCTGAAGCCATACAAGTTGTATGATTGAAAGGGATTTAATTCAACCAGTGCTCTGTAATATTTATCTACAAGAATCTTATGTGTAATGAAATAACTAAACATGTAGTTATGAAGTTCCATTTCACTAAGGAGACAGTTGCTAATGGGATTATAGAGACTGTAAGAAATTCCAGCATATGACAATGCCCAGATATATTGACAAAAGCTCAACTTCCACAAAATTTTAGCATTGCTTAGCATTATTGAGAATGTTGACAGAGAAGTCTTGATATTGTTTTCTTGGACATTGATAAATTAAAGAACCGTGGTGGAGATAGTTGACTGGTCCTTCAATTCCTTCCTTTCATTGTTTTGGAGACTCTTGGTGCACTTTCCAGTTTACACAACTTATTTTGAGGTGTGGCCATAAATACACCCTCACCTTTTATTATAAAGACGCTTCAATTCATTTTTTCCTAGTAAATATCCTGTCCTCCTATTTCCCTCTTCTAATCTTTCTTCATTTGCTCTATTTTTCTTTTCTTTAACTGGCTGTAAAAATAACAGTTCTTCTAAAGAACCAAAACAAGGAGGCTGCTGAAGATGCTGGAGCAGCTAACGGGTTCAAGATCCCGTTGTGGTCACCAAGGGGCTGAGGAGTGTTACAGCTGGACAGCAACAGCAAAGGGAGCCATGACTGTGAAGCGTTGAGCCAGGCAAAGACCTCAGGAGTCTATCTTGCTGAAGCCAGGGAATTTCGTGGGGATTTCTTCTCCAAGAGAGGATGTTCTGCCTTTGGAGGCTGAGTACTGGAGGCTACTGGAAATCAACAATTGAGGGGCTGTTGGATATCAATTGCTGCAGGTGGAGAATACACGCGCAAGATCACGTGATAATGCAATATTCATTTGACAGAAAAATTGTTAAAGCATAGGCGTGTATTCTTGTTGAATTTCTTGAGTATCAAGAACTAGAAGCAGCTTCTCCACAGAATACTTGGCGGTTGGGAAGTACAATTTAATGAGATGGTTTCGAGGTGATAGGTGATGGTTGAGAAGAACAATTAATTTCTACCGAATACTTCATTATTGCCCGTTAGCTTTAAGCTTTTGATTTTGGGAATGACCATCTACTCCTGTACTGGACTCAGCCTAGCGATTATGTTCCGAACTTCTAGTATAGTCCAAGGATAATTTCATTTACGCAAACTTGCCAGCATCATAGAGATTTTTTTCGTGGTTCAAATCCATATCTTAGTGGAGGAAACCAAATTACTGACCCAAGACATAATCGAATTATGGTTTTGAACCACTTTGAATTAAACAAACATGGCTAAGTGTATAAAACTCCCATAAATACAAGATATGAGGGTAAAATGCCAGACTTAAATACAGCATTAAAGAATAGTAGAGCACCAAAACAGCAAGGTGCTTTAAATTTTAAATTTAACTATCAGAATCCAAAGCACAATAAACAACTGAAAGTTGGCAAAATGGCATCGACCAAATCTTCTATTATAAAAAAATATGAAAATAAGATAGAAATATTGTAGTTAACTCACCCATTTTTTAATCTGATGCTATTGGCAGAAACCTGAATCCCTTCGCTGATAATTTGCCAAAAGCTTGTGTGGATGCAATTATTGGTAGCCTAACACACAAAGCTGCCAGAACTACTGTAAATATAAAAAGAAATACCAAAATTTAATGTCCTCGGTTCAGAAGAACTTTTAAGCAAGATAAATAGAGATGAAATTTTAATTCTCAGACTCTCACCTGCATGATGGGGGTTTTCCATCAAGACTGGAACTGAACTTGATAATCATTCAAGAAATGATAGAAGTCGCATACCATTAGTTACTCACTTCATTTGAGATTCCTTATTAGATTCATGTCCGACTGACAAAACCTGTAATGTAGTGCCTTTAGCAAGCCACGCAGTAAGTTCTGGCTTATCTTCAAAGTGGTTAAGTGGTTGCAAGATCCCATCATCTTTTCGAATGCCATAAATAAATGGGAGCCTGAGTGTAATAAAGCTCTCAGGTGGTAGGATGACCCAACAACCAAAGCTGAAATGTGATTGCTGTTTACGTTCAGGAATTGTTGGTGGCAAACATGATTCCTAGAAAAATTGCATAAACCACAAAAAATGTCTTAATAGAAATCAGAGCACTGTTTGATAAAAGGAAATGCTTTAGCTATTACAAAGGGCGGGTTTGTAAATTTAACAAATATTCATATTAAAAATCAAATGTGTTGCTCAATTTCCACCTCTAACCTAGAAATTAAAACAGCCCAAAGCTGGTCATGTAAACCGGAAACTCAGAAAGGTATTGTTTGCCTTTCAAGAGAATAAAATTCAGCAAACTAAGTTCGCATTGATGATTAAGTACTTGCCTCAAACTGTATAACAGGGCAAGTCGCTAAAACTGTGGGAAATGGTGGGGTCACCTGCATAGATGAATAATTGTTAAAAAGTGCAGCTCAATATTCGCAATTCTTGGGAAAATTTGAAGAAAAAATATCCATTTTAAGAATTAACACAAAATATGCATGCAAGCAGGCGTAATAAAAGAAAAAATAGCACACTAAAATGATCATCAAGAATTGGAGTTGATTTATGTTAAAAGCTAACAGCTATAGAGATGCAGGATATAATTTAAAATCAACAAAAAAGATGAGCCCACGTTCAAGATTGCACCAAACTTATGTGTTATGCTTATTGAGTAAATGAAGAAAGCTGGCTATGAGCCCGTCCATGGTTACAAATATGCTGTAGTTTTCAATTTGCGAGAAGCCAACTTTTGACTTTGGGTAGTTTTCCATCGTAGTAATAGGGATCATCAATTAGATATGCATATGCTAATGAAAATCAGCTGGATAGTTCTCAAGTAAAAGCAGACAAACTGACAATAATACTTATGCACTATCTAGCTTTAGAATTTTATTATTAGCATTATGAACTTCAAGAGCACTTCTTTTGAAACTTTATTAACTCATTATGGATATATATGTAAAAACCATTACTTGTGTTCAAACACATGGTGGTTTAACCAAATATTTTAATATTTCAGTTGGATTACATCAATGATCATCTCTAAGCCCATATCTTTTTGCTTTAGTCATGGATTTTCTTACCATACATTTGCAAGAAGATGTACCCTGGTGTACGCTTTTTGCTAATGATATTCTTTTTCTTAATAAGACTAGAGAGAGAGTTGAAGGAAAACTAGAATTATGAAGATCAACCTTAGAGTATGAAGGTTTTTATTTGAATAGATCTAAAACCAAATACATAGAGTGTAATTTTAGTAGTAAAAGATCTAATGGAGGGATTGCGACTATGGGCACTAAAGTCATTAAACAGAGTACACGTTTTAGATATCTCGGTTTTATTGTTCAAAGTGATGGTGAAATAGATGGGAATATTATTAGTTGAATTCAAGTTTGTTGCTTGAAGTGGAGGAATGCATCAATCATGTTGTGCGATAGAAAAGTACCCCTCAAACTTAAGGGAAAATTTTATAAGTTGGTGGTGAGACTTGCAATGTTTCATGGTGCAGAATGTTGGCCATTAAAAGAGAAGCATAAAATTATGTTAAGTGTTGCAGAGATGAGGATGCTCTGGTGGATGAGTGGTTTTACTCATAGAGACAAAATGCAAAACAAGTGTATACGTGAAAGGATTTTGAGTAGCTCCAGTGGCACATAAGATTAGTGAGAGTCGCCTTAGATAGTTTTGGTCACATTAAATGTCGGCCTTCCGATAACCCAATTAGGAGAGTAAATGTATTAGCTATGGCCTATGTTAAGAGAGAGAGAGGTAGACCTAAAAATATTTGGTTAGAAAGTATTAGAAATGATTTTTTATTAGATTTAAATTTGAATTTGACTCTTAATAGGATTATGTAGTCGACTCCACATAGTGCGATAAAGGCTTAATGATGATGATGATGATAGCTTTAGATTTTATGGAAATATTGTATAGTTCTTGAGTTTTGCTAATTTTGTTGAAAATGTCTATATAATATAAAATGTAAATGGTGCACCGTTCATTAGCATTGTTCGTCTCTCCATAATCCAGGGAAGAATTGTTTCAATGAGTGGAATATTCCAAATTTGGCCTTTTATCTTCCTGATCACCCCCATGCAAATTAGAAATATAATTGAATTTTCAGTTTTAAAAAAAAAACAAGTACAGCTCCAACAATAACTTGAGGAAAAACTATGGAGCTGCAACATTTGGTGCCATTTTTGCTAATGAAACATCGAAATATCCAAAAGACTAATATTAATACATAATTTAGAACTGCTAAAATCAACATTGATTTAGTTTAGAAATCAACATGGTATCAAATGAGAACTATAACTGATGTAAATCAAACTTCAAACAACAACAACAAGAATTTATCCCACTATGTGGGGTTAGCTAGATGAATCCATTTTCTCCATTGTGTCCAGTTAAGAGTCAAATTCTCATCTAAACCTAATAAAAAAAGTCATTTTTAATATTTTCTAACCAAGATTTTTTAGGTCTACCTCTACCTTTCTTAACATAAGTCCAATATAATACATCTACTTTCCTAACCGGCTCATCTGAAGGTCGTCATTTTATGTAACCAAACCATCTAAGAAACGATCTAAGGCGACTCTCTCTAATCTTATCTTCCACTGGAGCTACTCCAACCTTTTCACGTATATGCTCATTTTGTATCATATCACTAAGAGTAAAGCCACTCATCCATCTGAGCATCCTCATCTCTACAACAATTAACTTAATATTGTGCTTCCCTTTTAATGGCCAACATTCTGCAACATAAAGTATTGCAAGTCTCACCAACATCTTATAGAATTTTCCCTTAAGTTTGAGGAGAACTTTTCTATCACACAACAAGCCCGATGCATTCCTCCACTTCAACCATCCAACTTAAATTCTACTAATAATATCTAAAATGACTTGATCACCCAAAGTCAAAATTCCCCTAATAAATATATTATTACCAAAATTACACTCCATATATTCAATTTTAGATCTACTCAAACAAAAGCCTTTAGACTCTAAGGTTGACCTACATAATTCAAGTTTACCTTTAACTCCCTCTCTAGTCTTATCAACAAGAAGAATATCATCAACAAAAAGCATACACTAGGGTAAAACCTCCTGCAAATGTCTAGTGAGAACATCCATGACTAAAGCAAAAAAGATATGGGCTTAAGGTTGATCCTTGATGTAATCCAACTGAAATAGGAAAATACTTGATCAAACCACCTTGTGTTTGAACACAAGAAACAACTCCTGCATACATATCCTTAATGACTTAAATATAACCATTATTAACCCATTTCATATGTAGAACTCTCCATAGCACTTCTCTTATAACTTTATCATATGCTTTCTCTAAATAAATAAAATCATATGAAGATCCTCCTTATTCTCTGTATACTTCTCCATCAAACCTCTCAATAAATGTATAGCTTCCACAGTAGACCTACCAGCATGAATCCAAATTGATTTTGAGAAACATTAGTGTCACACTACAACTTATGCTCCATAACTCTCTCCCATAGTTTTAAAGTATGATGTAAAAAAAAACTTCAATTATTTTTTATTTGAACTTAAAAATCATATCCAAATTAAACTAGATATGTTTTCAAAAGCTAAAGTTGAAACTCAATTTATCAAATAAGCTAGAATCGGATAGTCAATTGGGCTACGACTAATAACGAATTTCAAGCATGGCTAGCTTTGGTAAGACTTAAACATGTAATTCTAAACAAGCCCCCATTATCTAAATGTTACCTACATAATCCACACTGCCGGAAATATTGAAAATCTTTTCATGATTTGCACAAGCATTAATTAAAATTTTCTAAAGAAGGGAAAACAAATTAATTCTCCCTGATGTCATTTCGAAAATATACATGTACATATATATATATATATATATATATATATATACACCTGTACACACACACACACACACATATATATATATATATATATCACATAAGAATGAATAATATGCTAATAATTCAAAATTAACACAAAGTGCCATAATAAGAAAACATTATACCATACAATTAAAATGTAAGAATATTCATATTAAAAAAATAAATAAGTACATGACAAACATAATTAACAAATAATCTTTTAAAATAATAACATCTAAGATATAATCCATCCATAGTAGATGAACAACAGGTGTCAAATCCACAAAGGTATAAATCAAATAAATCATCAGGTAATTATCCTCATCATCACCCATAAAATAAACTTCATCATCCCCATCTCAATCTTACAATCCTTCACATTAATTTCATCTTCCTTTTCAACTAGCGTCTCATGCCTAGGTAAAGTAAGCATTAAATGCCTCTTTTCAGTCTTTTATTTTTTATTTTTGAGAGCCCAGTCCAAAGATAAACAAATAGAGACACTTAGAGGTTGAATCTTAGAATAACCTCACAAACATAAGAGAAACCTTTTGGAGGAACAATGTAACAAAACAAGTTTCCAACTTCAAACTTGCTTCAGCTGTTCTCGAGGATTCTCTTCCAGAGAAGTGCAAAGAGGGGACTTAAGGAATAGAGAGCAAAAAGGATTTAGATGGTGGATTCCAAGTGAGATAATACAATAATCATCTTCTCCATAGCTTGGTTCAATATCTCTTTATGAGCAACACTCAGTATGAGTTTCCAATGGTCAATGCAATTTAAATGTTTTCATATTTCATGTTAGGGTTGTAAATTGTAATGGATATTCTAGATTTAAACTTATATTTACATTAGATAGATTAAGATGAATTAGATGTAAGCTTTGATAAACATTATTTCATGTGTACACCCATGTTCTACTAGGTCAAATAAAATAAAGTCATCATACAGATTTGAACTGGTTTCAACAAGACAAAAGCCTTAAATCAACTTGAGATACACCAAGGTTAAAGTCGCCCAAAGTTATGAACTCGTGTATCTTCAAGTTGCCCATGGAAGATTCAATTTGTTTCCAAAGATAAAAAATATTAAAGTCGCAAACTCATATGAGTAGTAACTTTCAAAGATATCTTGACAATTGATTCAAAAGATTCACCCATCAATCAAGGGTACACACTTATTAATCAAAAAACTTGTTGCTAAGATACTTCGTCCAATAGACTTAGATAAAAATAATTCCCCTTAAACATAGAAATTGGTGAAAGTATCAAAATCTTGGACAACTGTCAACTAAACATATTTGTTTCATTAAAGTTGTTTTATGTAAAGTTTATTGTATTTTCCAAAAATAATCATTACAATACATTGAACCTTGCCCAACCCTACAAATAGGGGGAACTAGAATGAGTTCAAACATGTTCATATCGCATCAACCACGTAGTTTTTGACATCGAAATATAAAAAGACTAAAAAAACTTCTCTCCATAAATCTCTCTCTTTTCTTTCTTTTAGGATCAAATCAAGAGTGAAAGTAAGGCATTGATGTCACCAGAAACAGATCTGGATCCAACATCCTAAAAGGAGCAATGAGCATGAAAGATGTCGTAAACAGAAATTTCAACTATGAAATGCCGCAATAAAAGAAAGAGATCACCACAAATCGAACAAAAATATTAGATAACTATTGGAGTGAACAAAGGAAACCCATCTTCATAATCAGGCTGAGAAATAATCAAAGAGTTCAAATGAGATGAAAGATTGGAGAAATACCAAATTGTAGTCACTCTATGAGGAGGATAGAGCACACAGTGGTGAGACCAAGAGTTTTAGTGGTTCAGTTTGAAGACTAGCATCCACTTTCAAAGTAGTTGAGAGGTAATACACACATCTCAATGAACCTAAAAGTCTAAGTGACACGTGTCCAAGGTTGAAGTGGGCCCTCCTAAGAAGACAGATGTAAATAGAGCATGGAGGTTTATATTCAAGGAAAAATGTAGAGAAGAGAAATCACATTAGATTGGAAGAAAGATAAAAAATAATGAAAAATAATTGTCTATGACCTCAATGAGCTCAGTGAGAACAGTGAATAGATTTGAATAACTTTAAAATAGCTTTAAGCCCAACCACCAACCTCGGAAAGATTAGTAAATGCCTATCTGCATAAGTGAATGTTCGCCTTTATAAATGTATAACTCTCTTTAGTGAACTACTGATGAGATATTTAATTATTTATAATGGGCTAGAATGGCAGCAACCTAGAAATATTAATGATAGACCAATGGACTTGATATATGATGAAGCTTTTAAATTTGAGGTTTTAGGCTGAATTAACACGTGAAAAGCATCAACTGATAGGGAAAATGAGATAGTACCTTAACTGGCGTTTGGTGGTATTGTTGAGAACGGCGAACCCCAAAAAATGCAAATTTCTGATATATTTGTGTACCTTCTAAGCATTGGTGAACTTAGGAAGCTAAAATTATCTAATTGGAGGAATGAATTAAATGTATTAATTGATTGGAGATGATGATTTCATAAATTTGGTAATCAGCATGATCACTAATTAAGTATAAGATCAATTGGATTTAGTGAGATTTTGCATTAAATGGCCTTGAATGAGATGTTGGAGGATTGCCTAAAAATATGTAAAACTTTAAAGCTACAAATGGGTGCCTGTGAAATAATCTTTTTCTTGCAAGAGAATAGTCTCAAGAGGTAGTCCTGAGGATTAAATGCTTGCGGTTTCCCAAGACAACCTCTACAAGAAAGCCAATCATTTGGGATAAACCAGTTGGCTGACTGGAAAGACTCTTATCAACTTATTTTGTAGTTGGCCAACTTGATTAGTACTGGCAAGCATACCATCTTGTTAGCCAGCACAATTATGGTGATTGCCTACACTCATTCGTGTTGGCTGTGAGGGGAGTAAACTAACAAAGTAGCAAGTAAACCCAACTAGGTAAGATGTGGGCCGAGCTAGTTAGAATTCATTCATGTGTGATGAGTGATGCTGTGTAGGTGGGTTGTGCCGTCCAGGCAGACAATTGGCCTGCTATGTTGCAGCTATTAGCTAATCAACTGGGTTGATCTAACCGACCAAACAAGCTATGCAGTGACTAGTATCAGGTCAATTGAGTGTGAATGAGGTGAGTCAACCAAGTCATTGAAGACTTTTGTTGAAAGAAGAGTATTTTCAGAGTAAAAAAAACAACACTCTATTTTCAGAGTAAAAAAAAAACAACACTCATTTTGATTTAACTTCCAAACAACAAGGATACTTATTACATAGTCAACAAGGTAAGAATGTTCAAAAAAAAAGTACACGTAAGCTCTAAAGAATGGATTCGTATCACAAAAATAAGTTAAAACAAAATTCAAGAATAAATTCAGTAAGCACAGTTATACCATGGATTTATACTAGTCCTACGTAAAAATAAATAATGAAAAATACTAATAGACTAGAATAGAATCTTTAGAATGCTGCTTAGTGCTTACCAGAAAGATCCGCTGAAGTTGTGATATCTTACTCGCAAATTTGACCTTCTGTTGTGCCTGTATAGCAGAGTTATTGCAATGAGGGCAATTCATGTAAACGGGCAAGTCTCTTGTTAAAAGAGAAAATGCAGAGCTGCCATCATCCAATCGAGCATGTGAAAGCTTTCCTTCAAGTGGATGAATAGACTCAGAGAGCAAGGGGAGCCTGTGGACAGACTGGGCATTTTCCATGCCCTCTCTAGAAAACACTGTAAAGCTTTCATGATTCTGACCGCCATTAGTTGACACAGACTCATTGAGTTTGTTATTTTTCCGCAAATTAGTCACAGAAGCAACTTTTCCAGATGAATAATGATCCAGCATCTCATGCACTCCAGTCTTAGTCTCAGCACATTTTCCTTCAGAAACATTGGTAGAAGAATACTGTTTAGACGACAATGAATATGAAGAATCAATGTTCTTAAGATGCTCTAAAGATAATAGAAAGCGATGACCAAAAGGGCACTCATGCTCAAATCCAACATATACAATAGATTGCTTTGAAGAACTGGTTCGGTTTATCTCCCCATTGTTAAACATGTCCACAGGAACTATATTTGTTCCAATTTGTAAATATGAGTTAGCATTGGTTTGGCAATTGGTTTCTGGTTTTATTGAGCTTTCTATGGCAGAAATATGTTCAGGTCCTTGGGAGGCCTGTTGATCATCCATTGCATTTTTTCTACCATCATTTTGATTGGCTAAACTGGACTGCCTGATGCCTTTATCTGTAATATCTTTTATATGTTTTCTCTGCTTAAGAGCAAGGGATGTCGAATCAGCAGTTGCTATACCTGCGACAACCTCAGCAAAAGGCTTCTTCATGGTGAAAGATGGAAGACCTTTACCAAAACTAATGCTTGTTGCATTTGATGGCACAGGCTCTGATGTTTTTCTCTGGATTTCTGACGTGAGCTGAACTTCACTAGGTTTGGTTTCAGCTGACTTCTTTTTCCTTTCATCCCTGGCAGGCATGACTTTAGGCCCAGGGTTTAAACTTTCAACATAACTTTTTCCAGTCACTCCAAAGGAAAAGCTATCTGTTTCGTTCTGTTTATCAAATGAAATTGTCCACTTCATCAAAAACTTATGGGCAGAACAAAAACCTGTTTGAATTAAACCTTTGGATGGTTCATAATACCTTGCTCCTCCAACACGCCTTAAACTCCAAGAAGCAGGAGGAAGTGGTCCTCCAATGCCAAAATTTGAGATAAAGAGACTAGGAAGAAGATTTTCACAATTGGTGAAATGATTGAAGGTTATATTTGCACTTTCAAAATCAAAAGGATCGTCACGCAAACGCCTTGAGCGGCCGCAGGCACAAGCATGAAGAAAAACATATCCGCTAGAATGTTGAATGATGGCATCTTCCTTAGAAGAATTATTGTTATTGATGTCATGCCGGCGGTGCATGCAAGGATTTCTGGTCAGGCTGACAGCATCGCAAAGTTGCCTCCCAGCTTCCCAGATTGATGTGCATTCGTCTGCAAGTTTATTCTTAAACATTTTCACGGCTGGTCCTTTGACCATTGAATTAAAAGCAAGCAAAGCATTCTCCAAGTGTGTATTGTGCATTGAAGTTGGATAGTAAGCAGGAAGATCTTTTAGATAAAGCTCCTTAGCAGCTGGAAGAGCCCTTTTGCACCAAGATACTGAAAACTTCATGTTCATACCTTTACAGCTCTCCAGGCAAGAGATGGAATCTTCAACAGCATGTCTATCTTGTGTCTCTGTTGTACTTCTTTGGAGAGGCAACCTTGCCGTGCTTCTTATTTCATCTGTCAAGCCATGACCTAAGGAGAGCAAAGCCTCAAGGATATGATTAGTAGCTTTTAACCAGCTTTCCAGACTTGGGAGCTCAGGAGCACTTGCTAATTTAACAGCAGCTGCTGATGCTGCAGCAGCTGCAGCAGCAGCAACTACACCTACACCAGCAACCGAACCACTATTCACATTACTTGGCAACCCTCCTCTGCCTCTTAGCATATCAGCCTGTCTCAAGATGAAATCCTTTACTGACTGAATATCCTCATTATGTAGATTCTCAGAATGATTTTCAAGCATAAGCACATCAACTCTGTTCTTGGAATTCAAAGCCTCTTCTATTAGACTAGTAACAAAGTTCAAGGGTTCTCCTCTCTGATTCACTGAGCGGTCTAAGAGTACAACAACCCTTGATGCATCGAGTAAAAACAAAGGGTGGGAATTAGCACTCCCAACTCCCCTTGATCCACTATGACTGTGGTCGGTTCCAGAAAGTACTCTACATTTCTTGATCAAAAATCGAATCTGTGCCTCCAGAGATGACTGCAGCCTCTTCCTGAAACTACCTTCAGCTTTACTAGCAGGGCGTGCCAGCATTACCACAGAACCTGATCCTTTGACTGCCAAGTTTTGCCTATAGGCATCAGTCATCTCATCCACATTGGTCATGGCACTCGAACCATCAGTGAAATCATCTTCAAAAACAAAAAGAACAACAGGAATACACAGGCCAGGAAGAATAGATGGGTGCGAACCGCTGCCTGACATGAGAGAAATTGCTGAGCCAGGTCGGCTTGAAGAACCTCCCCTTCTAGTAGGGGCTGAAACCGAAGAGGCTCCCACATCATTAGGCTGGGGAATGGCCAAAGATTGTTTAGGTGATACTAAGGGTGCAATTTGGGATCTCCAGAATGGGGTAAGAGCATGCTTTGCAGCTTGCAGCATTCGAAACTTCTTTAAGATTTGTATGTCAAATCGAAAACCCTCATGTACGAACACAATCACATGGCAGACCTGGTTAGGTTGAAGAAAAATGTTTATATTGATGGACAAAAAGAGAAAAGAGATGAGGAAACAACTCACGGAGAACATGAGGAGCATATATCGGATATCTTCGGCCTCGCATTCCTCTAAAACGGAAATAGCGCCCTCGTCCCGCTCATCCGACGTCGAAGATGAAAGCAGAAGCAATCTCGAAGGGGACGAAGGAGAGTATAGAAGATAGACCATTCCTTTCTCCGGCTCGTAGTGGTATCCGATCCTCCGGCGATCGAACCAGTCCGTCGCATCGGGAATCAAAGAGGTGGGGATATTCTTCTCCAGGTTGGCGGAGCCAAAGACGTTGTCGTCAAGGAGGCGGTTGATGAGATGAGTGAGGTCGGTAGATGGTTTGCTGCCAAGAAAACCAACCACGACAACGCCGATAGGAGAAGGCGAAACGGAGGTAGTTAAAGGGTCGGAGGATGAGGAGGAGGAGGGTGCAGGGGTAGGGTTGAGATTTGGGGGAGGAGGGTTAGAGGAAGAGATGGAGTGCGGTGGGGTAGGGGTGGTGGCGATAGGTGCGGCGGCTGGTGAGGTCGTTGCTGGAGGAGGAGGACGGATTAGGAAGCGGAGGGGAGAGGAGCTGGGATGCTCCATGGTTGCGGAGGAGAGCCCTGGACCTGTGTACGCAGTCCGAGAGAAGGGTCCGAATGCTGAGTATTTAGTATTTACTGTGTATTTTTTTGATACACATTAAATGAGCTACAAATAAGTATCAAATAAATAATATTAATTAACACAACTCTCCTTGGCCTATTGGTTGAGAGTTTAGGCTTCCAACTAAGAGGTCCAAGGTTCGAGTCTTTGTGTATGCGTTGTGTGTGTGAGTTTGCCTTAAATGGCCTAAATGTCCCAAAAAAAAAAAATAATATTAATTAAATACATAATAAATATAAAAAAAAATACGTAAAAAAACTGTGTATTAAAAAATACGTAATAAAATAAACAGTAAATATGCAACATCCGGATTGTTCTCTACGTTCGGACTGCGTACACAATAATTTCTCAGACTTGCGCGAGGGAAATATTACTTCCAGTTACCGGACGTAGAGATACATCCGGATATTAATAAAATATTATTTTAAGTTAAATTTGTCGAAAGCAGGAAAAGAGTATCTAAAGTGCAGGTAAAACACAGGTAAAGTGCAAGTAAAACGCAGTCAAAACGCACCTAAAGCACAGTCAACGGCTCAAAGCGGATGCGATGTGACAAATCTTAATTGAATGTCCGGACTTATTTTTAGGTAACAACGAGCTTTCACTTTTCAGTAAGTGTGTAAAACCTGTATAAGGAAAAAGAGAATTAGAAGTTTAGAACGTCGTGAGGACGCTTGGGCGAGTTTGTAAGAGGGGAATTTACCTTAAAGTTGCTTATCTCAAGCTGGATTCAGTTCAATAAAATCTCTCTCCGTTAGATAAATATTTGGTGGGTAATGTCACAATCCTATTCAATATGATTCAATATCACATAGGTTATATTATATCATATTATGATAAGATTGACCCCAAGATTCGATTGGAGAAACACTGAAATAAAAAATTTCAATGTATATACTACACATAATCATTATTGAATACTATATAAAGTGGAAGACTGCTGCATCTTAAAAATAATTTTATATATATCATCCAAATATATATATGCAACATAAGGGATTTACAAAAGCGCATAGCAGCATGCAAGATAATAAAATAAAAATCAAGCCTATAAAAATCCAAATTAATAAAAACATATCTACATCATAGATCAAAGACTGCTACCCAAATCTACTCATCTCTCTCTTTACCCTTTCTCAAGCATGAAAATGATAGTAAAAATATGAGTTAGCTAAAACTGCATAGTAGGCTGTCACAGCCTAAAATCAAAACCGATATATGAAATCAAAAGAAAACTGAAAATACTGTGCTTTAAAAATATTGTATAGAAAACTGAAACTGAAATTGAAATCAAATGAATTATAAGCATATATTCATTTTACTAGAAAACATTTCAACCCAAATTTATATATATTACTTCGTTAATAGGATCCCACATCAATAGCCCGCAAGGCTAGTATAATAGAATCTCACCTCGATAACCAGTAAACCCCCACATAACAGATCCCACCTTGGTAGCCCGCAAGCTCCAGCATGATAAAATCCCATTTTAGTCGATCACTGGAGCCGGTATAGTAGAATCTGACCTCGGCCGCCCACTAACACATGCATAAAGCATCCCACCTAGGTCTCCCACTAGCGCCACCAGAATAGAATATCATCTCAGTTGTCCACTGACGCCAGCATAACATCATATCACCTCATATCACATCATATTTCTTTTATCATTATACATATATTTTGATGCATTTTATTAAATAAATTATAATTAGTTTTAATTCAAAAATGATCAAAATGCCTTAAAAATAGGTAACATAAATACCACTGAGTAAATATTCACAATTTAAAAACATAATCAAATTATCATAGATTATGTAAAACATCATTCTGAAGTTTTAATTGAACTAAAGCACTATTTTAAATATCAAAATAAGGTTTGAATAAGCAAAAATTGTTGCTTTATCAAAATCACCATGCCAAAATTTTTTAAAATATACTTAAATTGTTTATAATCTCAATCTCTATAACATATAAAAAATTATGTGAAGAAAGCTTTACCAAAATAAAGTTATCCTCGTTTTTCAATAACTAAATAAAAAAGTCATCAAAAAAATCTCAAAAAATTCAAATTCTTAAAAACTGAGATAGGCAAAACATAACCTACATCGAGACGAACAAACTTTTCAATTTGGTCAACGTATGAAAACGACTCTATAATCACCAAATCTCAATTTTTTCTCTCTCCTCTCTTTTCTCTCTAATTTGATTTTTTTTCTATGTTGCGCGAAACTAAATGAGGAAATGACATTTAGTAGATTGGTATTTATATAATATAATAATATATAAAGTATATTAAGGGTAGCATAATAATTATACAATTAGTTCGTATTTTAGTATAACTTATTGTTGCGGGCTAGAGAATACGCGACGATAGAGATTTAATTATGCGTCTTAGCGTTGTACGGATAACTAGCTCACACACAGAGAACACAAGATTTTTTACATGGAAAACCCTTAAAAAGGGGAAAAACCACGAGGCCTGGCCCAGTTGAAAATATTTCCACTAGAATTTGAGTTGATTACAAAGAACTGAATCCCCTCTAAGGGTGATCAGATTTACAATCAGTAATTGTTCGATATGAGTCAGGTGTTAGACCCAGTGTCACTTGGAAGATGAGGTCTGAACGTCGGGCCTTAAGAAAGACATCAGGTCTTCCGCAGGACATAGGGACTGAACGTCGAGTCTTAAGCAGGACGTCATGTCTTCAGTAGGACGTCAGGCCTTCAGCAGGACGTCGGGCCTTCAGCAGGACGTCGGGTCTTCAGCAGGACGTAGGGACAGAACGTCAGGCTTTAAGGCAGTAATGCAATGAAACTCCGGCGGTGGTCCGGCGATGCTAAGGTGGTGGTCCGCCAAGATTCCTGCGGTGGTCCGACGATGCTTCTGCGGTGGTTCGGCGGTGCTTCTGCGGTGGTCCGGCGGTGGTCTGGCGGTCATCGAGGAGGAGCTTCTTCCTTCTCTTCTCTTATTCTCTCTCTTGCTTAGATCCTCTCTTGTGAAGAATGAGGGCTCTATTTATAGATTTTCTGGAGTGGCATGACCCATAAATAGGCGTGAGATCAGGGGCGAATAGGGAGTGGTTGAATGGACGACCGATATTGAATCATGCGATCGTGCACCGTTCGTTGGTCATTTGAATGCCTTAGTGATGTCGGAATTTAGTGATCTTGGGTTCGTTGGATTTGTCTCGTCGATCCGTTAGATTCGAGTATAAGCTCGTCAAAGTCGGAGTCCGTTTGGTAATTCAAATAGTGGTTTGAACCTTCCAACAGTGCTCCGGATCCATGATTTGGACCCATTTGGGCTCAGATTGGGTCGAACTTGGTGTCGTTGGGTTCGTATTTCCGAGATGCTCAGTTTGACTATAAGCTCGCTGAAATCAGAGTTTCGATGCTCCCAAAATTAAATTTTGAAGTTTCTAACTAGCTTTTTGCCTCGAGATTCGTGCCCGATCAAGATAATTTTTGCATGACGTATCACTTATAAATCATTTTATATATTTAATTTCGAAAATTCAAAAATTATGAAAAAAAAATATATTTAAAAGTTAGCTAAGTATGTCTAGAATAATTGGATGAAATGAGTTTGCAAAACGGACACCTAATAATCCAAAAAAAAAAATCTCATTTGTATCAACATATGATAATTTTTAAGGAATTGTACCAATGACAAAAAAATTATGAAAAAACTTATAAAGCTAATACACAATAATATATATACTACGACAAAAACGGTTTATGATTTGAACTTATAATGACTTCTGAAATAATTTTTTACAGTCATTAAAAATATATTTTTAAAATTTTTGAATTATAACATATAAGCTCGTTGGCAAGACTCAAGAGAATCCCCCATATCCTTTAAGAAGAGGTGGTCATACTTAGGAGAGTTTCAATTGATAACAATAGCTCGAAATTGCGCACGATGCGACAACTTTTATGCATGAAAGTTACAACCCAGAGCTTGGATTATAGAATTGAAAGGAAGGTTCTTCCAAATGATAGAATATGAAGGCCTCTCTTGTCACGCCTCAATATCTAAATGAAATAATTATAAATTTTATCTTTTAATTTAAAACAGAGCTTCCACAAATTTTTAAATCACTCCTGCAGCCACTAAGGGTGTCAAAATATGTTAATGGGTCGTGTTCGGATCCTACTGAAAATTGACCCGTCTAGAATTGAGTCAGTTCAAACCTGACATGTTTAATGAACGGGTCAAAAATACCAACTTGAATTTGACCTGCTAGTAACCTAAATAACTCGAATCAAATCCGTTAACCCATTTTTCACTGATTTTTTTTTATATATAATTTACTTACTATAAAGTCTAACCTAAATCAAACCGTTTTATTAAACATGTCAATATAAAAAGCAATGTGCAAAGTTCCTGTTTTTTTGGATACTTCCTCTCCAAAAAAACTTCACATGATTTCTTGGGATAAAATTTGTTTGCCTAAATTCAAAGGGGGATTGGGGATACCATCTATATCTGCCTTGCAATTTGCATACAACTGTTCATTTATTCTTAGAATGTACAATGGCTCCTCCCTATTTTCCTCTTGGCTTCTCTATAAGTATAGTTCCCCTTGGATGCCTTGCAATTTGCATACAACTGTTTAGTTATTCTTAGAATGTACAATGGCTCCTCCCTATTTTCCTCTTGGCTTCTCTATAAGTATAGTTCCCCTTGGAAGCCGGTTCATGCTAATGCCTCAAAATTCTGGAAATCTATTAGTAAAACTGCGGTGGATGCTAAAGCTTACTTCAAATTTCAAATTATGCAAAACTCCCCTATTTCTTTTAAATGGGATCATTGGTGTCATGATGGCACAATTGGTGAGTTTTTTGGTGATGATTCACTAGACTTTTTTCCATATGTTTTCCTATATGAAATAGCACATGGTAATATTTTTAGGCATTCTGGGAACTTATCTTCTTGTTTGCGGGATGTGTTTACTGGCATCAACTTCATTGATAGAGCAGGACCTTGTTTGTCTTGGAAAAGCAAGTGCAATTCTCGGTTTAAGCATTACTTTAATGAGTTTTATACTGATTTACCTGATTGTATCTGGTATAAACATGTATGGCATAAAAGGTATGCCATTAAGCATGCGGTTTTCGTTTGGCTTGCTTTAATGGGGGGCTTACAAACAGCAGACGCTCTTCATATTAGACAAATTTATGTGCCGATCAATTGCAGCCTTTGTCACTCCAATGTCGAATCTGTTTCTCATTTATTCTTTGAGTGTACTTACTCATTCTCTATTTTGCAAGCCATTATACCTGGGTCTACTTGTTTTCTTATGAGACCCACTATTATGCAAGTATATGATTGGTTGAATGGAGAATACTGCAGAAAATCCGAAGAGCTTAATTTCTTTAAGTTGGCAATTGGCTGTATTATATACTATTTATGGAGAGAGAGAAATAACAGGATGTTTGGTGGTAAATTCCAATGTTTTACTACTGTCATTTTTAAGAGTTAAAAGTATTCTTTTGAGAAGGTTTTAAAATGGAAAAATGGTTTTGCTCTGCTGGACAAATTGTAGAGTTGTATTTCTTTCATCCAGGTCCCTTGTCCCTTCGAGAATTGTCTGCATTTTTCGTCTTTTCTGGACAAGATGAAGTCTACCTAAGCAGGCCCCTTTGGATGGCCTCGCGGGAACCAGGGATCTATTCTTATTTCGATGGCTATTTAAAATACATTCCTGATCCAGTTTTGGC